GATTTAAAACTTGCCTTCTATTTAATTTATCATATTAAGATTCAAGATGAATTGAATCTTGAAGTTTAAGATGAATCTTAATACTGATTTCTACTGTAAAGTGTTTGAGAGATCTACAGCAAAACACTACATTTCCATTTCTAAATCAACAGCCTCTTATTTGATGCCATTTAAAAACCTGACAGCAACTCCTAGCTTTGGAGCAGTTATTTTAACTTGGTCATTGTGTGTATGCATATACTGCAAACTACATGTGGTAAAAAGGAAGTATATATAAAAAGGAAGCAATTTTAAATCCCTCTATTAATTAAGTATCAATTGACAATAGGACAACTTCCTACTTTGTCAGCCCCCAAAACACAAGTTAAATTACAACATGAGTTGAACTACATAAAAAAAATAGAGAACATTAACCTCGTGTGTCCAATTTTAGCCATAATTATACTATGACTGATATATAGTATCTGGAAATACTGTAATGCTACTTGAAATAAAATTTGACAGTCCTTTCTGGGATAAATTTAATGCACATTCTATTCACCCTATCAAGTAGAGGGAGAAGTGTAAATGTTTGTTATTTCAGAAACAACTGAAGGAGAACTAGCCAAACTACAGAAGACATTAAAATGAAATAATAACAAGAAGATACTCTGAATCAATTGGTAAGATAAATATTAAGTCTTTGACATAAACCCTATTTAAACATAACATAGACAAAATTGAAGTTGCAGCACTCTAAAAATATCTTTAAGAGCAGAATAAGCCAAGCAGATGCACCAGTAGTTTCTAAAAACAGCTTAGAAAGGAAATTACACTACAGTTCTCGAGACATCATGCATTACTTCATTTTCTTTAGGAAAATAGATTAAAAGCAGAACTCTTCACAAAAAGGCTGACACACTGTTCAGATTGAAGTTGTAATTAGTATCAGTTGCTTTAAATAAGTAATTCCCTTCTCACTGTGATGAGCTATTTCACCTGAGGCTTTGTTTTCTGAGCCCATCTGCTTCTTTTCCAGTGAGATTTAGATGGATGCCCAAAGCTGACCTCCCAGAACAGTTACATGAACATTTGGATGCAAGTGGCTACTCTAACCATAATGCTGATAGCCACAAAGAGTCAGATGAAGGATGTATATAATTGAGGCTCTTTTTTTTTTTGTTTGCTTTTGAGCAGTTTCTTTCATGTCCTGTTATTGAAGTACATGTGTCAACTGACTTGAGGGGACAGCCTTGTAAATTAGATCTTTGATCTCAAGAGTTTATATTTGCAGCAAGGAAAAGTGAATTGAATTGGCTGGCAGAACTAAGCCCTCTCTTGTCTCTGGTCTACAGCTGCTGCATCGTTCTGGGGTCACCATAACTTCCACTTCCATCACTAGGTATTCTCTTTTGCTACAGAATTAAAAAAAGGGCTTCTTCAACATCTCACCATAACCTGATGAAAGCTTCACAACTTTTGGTTTATTTTATGAACCATGCAGCTGGCTCAGACTTTTGCTTCTGCAGAAGGGATGCATTTGACAAAACACTGAGCTGTGATACAGCAAAGCTCTTCGAGCTACTCTGATACTGCATCAGAAAACAAGCTTTAATGGAATATTCACTTACTGTTTTTTGGAGTAGAATGCAGTTTAGGAAGGATACTGCATGGAAGGTGCAGACTAAAAAGAAGTATCTCCTCTGAAACGCTGAAAAGAGGATGTGATCCATCATTATTCTCCCATTACTTTTGTTAATGAACAGAGGCACAAAGCATTAGGGACCACTGTGCTGTCTACTACACATACACAAAAAAGTCTAAGGGGCATAATACTGATTTATATCCAGGAATAGTCAAGATCTATTACAATCCCCAAAAATATAGAAAAAACCTCTCCATTAATATGCTTCAGAAAACACAGTTTAAAGCATTATTTTTTTAGGAGTTCCACTGAATGCTTAAAACATTTATACATGGAGGAAAAAAATTCTCCACAGAGAGTTGTCTTACGAGGGATTGCATGCACAGAGGTCAAAGTAGTGCTTTGGATCCTTTTCAGATCATTCAGCCAGCCCGGCTGCACGTGCTGGAGAATTAGACCAGTCTTACTCATTAGCATCATGTAGTGTAAAGAAAACTTCATGTACCTGTATGTAGAATCTAAAATGTGTGTTCCAGAACTAAACAGACAGCAAGATGTCATGCCTAGAATATCAAGTTTACTTCTTACATTCCTGGCATCTGAAAATACTGAAATTCTGAATTGACAAAAACCTCAGTTTCTTTCTATGGGCAGTAATGCTTCCAAGTTAACTGACTGTCAACACAACAGAAACAAGGGAGCGATTTTTCTCTCCTTCCAGTAAGCATGAATACTAACACTTCTTCTGGATAGCTGGGATTCAGACAGAAGGAGAGGTAAGAAACCCTCTGTGGGAAATCATCTCTCAGAAGAAGGATGTTGAAAAGGAAGAGGTAGTTCTCTAGGAAAAGAACATAAATATCTATCTCTGGTAGAGAAATAACATGGTCTTAGTGGAGGATACAGGGAGATCAATAATTTTGCTTAGTTTAAGGAATTTGACATATTGATGGGAAAAAATCAGGCCTAGCATACCTGCTTTCTAACTTTGCAAGCTTGTTACAGAATGCCAAGCTTAATGCTGATGAAGAGTTGCAGCATAGCAGGTGGGCTGAATTAACTTGGCTACTAAACCTTTGTCTTCTACAGCACCAAACAGGAGCCTACCTTTGGAATTTTAGGAGGATACTCTGCCTCTCTCTTGCTGTACAGACAGCCTCTAGCTTTGAAAATGAATCTGGTTAATCTGGAACTGCCCTGTCATCTGCAGAAAAGTTGCAGTTACCCCAAGGAGTTGCACTTCTGGTTCCTCTCCATACTCACTAGGCTGAGCAGAGAAAACACAAAGCAAGATGAATTATTGTGTCATAAAAAAGGGTGGTTGAGGGGATGAGGACAATTTCTCAAGCTCAGGTTTTATGCTGTTGTTCAAAACAACTTGCTCTTCTTGCCCAGGAGGCTGCCTTAGTGCTTTTGTGAACATAACAGGTTCTCCAGCTAAAAATGCAAAAAACTGTGTGTTATTTTGAGATACTGTAATTGCTGTGGTGAATGTGCTCTTTGCCTTTTTTCCTTTAGTTGCTTTAGGGTCAAAACCTCTCCTCTGTGACCGCACAAGTGTATATTTGCTGACAATCATATCAGGGTTTGGATCATACTTTAGAGAAAAGAGCAGAAACTGGATCTGTAACCACCGCCTTGACTGACCTGCCAGACATGGCATTGTCTGGCTCCATTTCTGTGTTTGTCACTGGGGAGTTCTCTGTAGGGACCAGCTCCCAGTGAACCTTCTGTCAGGCTCTTCTGGATGCAATTATTCTTTGATTTACTTTTGAACATGTGGGCTTCACTCCCCTTTTTCTACATTTCAAATTACACTTTTCCAGAGCCTGTATTTACAACTTTTCCAGAGGAAATAATAAGTGTCTTTTTAGGTTTGATTTATTAGAAAGTTCCACAAGGAAACTATCCCACAACACAGAGTACACCTTTTGCAAGGAAAATGTAGAGAATGGCAAATGAAGCTCAAATTCTCCCATGAACTAAAGTAACTCTAAATAAACTATTTAACAAAGGAGTGCAGGCCTAGTAATATGTCCACTAATGGCAGTAGCAAGGCTCCTATTTACAGCACTTCACTGGCACAGGAAACACACCTCAGTCTTTCATTATTAGTTCTGGAGTTGGCAATCTGTTGTAATTCTGATGTTAATGACTTTAGCTGTTAAATATCTGTCTGCTCTGTCCAAAACATTTACATATATATGCATAAAACAAAGCAAACAGTTCTATTCATTTTCTGATTATTATATACAGAACATACAGAAAGGAGAGCCAAGGTGGTTTACTATTTTTGATATAGATTTTATTTTAATAGTTTTTAATTTATTTTTTTTAAATTAACGATATTCCTTCATCAATAGTCAAAGGTTTGAATGACAATACACAGAGCCATCCAGTACTTGTTGGCAATGACAGATACACATATATTCACATATATGCTATGCAATAATCAGCATATGATGTCAAACTTATCTTACACAAGCAATTCACAGTTTTGTGAACTGAGACTCTTTGAAATCTTTAATGCTTTGAAGATTTTGTGCCATCTTCATGTTATTAGTGGACAGATAGTAGTACCATAAATCTTACTAATTTATAGTAAGTTCAAATGTATTTTTTTATTGTCCCAGTGGGAAGAGATTCACCTTCACTGTCTGGATGCAATAAGACTTCAATTGACTTTTAGGGATGATCTCAAGCAAGAGAGGTGTCTGAGCCCCAGCTCTTGCTAAAGAGAGGGCAGTCAGGAGACACATTCCCAGTACCCTTGCTCCTCTTACCCTTTATGGAAGATGATTAAGAGTGAAGGCCAAATTTTAATCTACCACCCACATTTCTCCTCCTGCTCAGTACAACCTCCTCCCTACACTCCTTTGGCTCTCTTTTTCTTTTGAAGGGGTATTTTTGAGTGTAACAGAGCTCGAATCTGACAAGTTGTAATTATTTAGATAAATCATCTAACTTTAGGCAAAAATTGAATGCCAAAAATTACATGCCAAGTCAGCTCGCAAAGAAAGAACAAGTATTGTAAGTTTGTTTGGTCTTCAACAGTGCTTTACAGTTCTGCTTTTAGACCAGCTGAGCTGCATAAATGTTTCAGATTCAAAATAGACAACTTGAATGGAAACATGCTATTTGCAGAATGAGCCATTTTTTAACTATTAGATATAAAATAATGAAAATTAAATTTAGTGCTTCAGGTATGTGTTAACTAGAAAATTCAGCACACAAGACAGTTCTGAACAACTTCGTAAAATTAACTGTTCTCTAAGAGGCCTTAGTACTTCCCAGCTCCTAGCCACGCTATCCTCAAAGCATTATCAGGGATGCCACCGAAGCCATCACAAGTCACCAGCACAACACACAGAATCCATCAGATGAAAGTGTGACGTAATTTATTAGAAGAGCCCCAATTTTTAAATGACACTGAAAAGATTTTCAAACTGAGTTTTCAAGTTCAAGTTCCCGTGAAAGCTGAATGGTCACAGCTGTAGTCAACAATATAGGTGAAACCGCATGGTAACTCTCACACATAAAAAATAACTCACTATTACTTAGCATCTTTTTATTGAAGTGCAGCACAGATACTCTCCCTGAAACAATATCTTCAAAACATTTAAGAACATAGCTGTCAAAAATATTAAATACATACATTAAAAAAACCCTAAACCACAAATATTTAACAATCTAAGATATATTCACAATGTAATTTCTTCATCATCTACAGAACTTATCTCAAACACTGTAAGAGGATGCAAGTCTGAAAATATATGTATTTTAAACTACCACAGAGCATAGAAAATACAAGAAAACATCCACTAACATTTGGCACAATAGAAATATTGTACCCCAATGGAGAAAACAAGTGTAGTCTTTTGTGTGCCACAGATCATTCTTCATCACAAACTGTGACATTACATCAGAGAGCTGTTGCTCGTGGAACAGCAGCTCTGGTGTTAGTCGGGAAAAACATGCTCAAAGCTTGCAAGCAGGGACACAGTGGTCTGTGAGAACGCATGTTTAGGTACTTAGCAGTTTAATTTAGTTGGATAAGAAACAATGTAATGTTTTCCTGTTGTTAAACATTGCCATCTGTATCTCTGGCACACAAATTAAAAAAAGAAGGGTGTGACCATTAAAAGTACGTGTCCTGAGATTTCCTTCTTCAGGGGGCAAAGAGGTTAAAATGGAAAAGCTGATCTGTATATAAATCAGGAACACATGTGGTAATGAGAACAAACAGCAGCCAACAGGCAGGCGGGGAGGACTTCTCCAGGCAGGCAACAAAATACCATCTACTGGAAAAGGGAAGGAAGCAACTGATTTTCATTTTGAAATTGGTAAATTTAACCAATTCTATTAAGTCTTCAAGATTATTTAAGGACTCATAATTAACTCTGAGTTTTAAAACTTGGTTTCACAGAAAAGCTGCCTGTCCAGTACTGCAGAGCAGCATTGCTTTAGCGTTAATATTGGTTTCTATCTATACAAAATCAGAGGAGATCATAACACGAGTAACAAGATCTATGTGTAACTGAGAGAAATAACAAAACAGTGCAGACATGCTAGACTTCCTCCTAAAGTTATGAAATGTTTGTGTCTGCAGCCTACCTACTGGAAGTAGATACCAACAGCCAGTCCCCTACTCAGGCTGAAACAGTTGCTTGATTTCTTTGGAGATAAACAGAATATTTGACATATTAAGTTACAGTTCATTTAAAGCTAAGAAATATATCACAGTTGTGAATAATAATCCATTTGATACACCAGTGGTAGGCCCCCAAAATATTAAGCTGATCAAAATAAGTCTTGATCTTCCCTTTAAGACTTATTCCTCAACAGAGGCGGAGAAAATAAAGAAAACATTATGGATCACAAAGCACTGAATTTTCAAGGGTAAAGTCATACCAAAATCTTGATAAATTATCATTGATGTCGTAGGTGAGCAATCGGTCAGGAACGTCACTATGGGTGCCCTGCACTGCTAACACATGTGGTGCCAGGGCAAAGGGTACGTCGCTCAGCAGGTCTGACATGAAAGGGCTGCTTTCCAAATTTTGACTCCTTTGATTTCCCGCCTCTGCACTTGGTACAGTCAACTGCGATCTCTAAAGAGAACAGAAGAACAGACATTTAGACATTATAAATCAGGCAACTGCGGCTTTGTACTTAGAACCACAATGACCTACTAATAAAGGGAAACAAAACAAACAAAAAATAAATAAAAGCACATTCAGAGTTCAGTTCAGGTAGATCTAAAATAGCAGTTCTCAATACACGTTGATATAATTCTTTGGCTCAGGTCAACCTGATTTAAGGCTAAACAAACAATAGATCTTTTGGAATGATTACTGAGGTATCTCCACCTAATGTTGCTCTGCATTTATATATAAAATATATATAATCCTCTCAGCACATGGCTGGTGGAATTTTTGTCATTATGTTCAGTCTTGTTTAGGGGAAATTACTTCATATAATTCCTTTCATAAATGATGAAGCTCCATCTTCTGTTCCCCCTCTGCCTTTTCAGAAATTGTCCAACAAAGGCATGACTTTCATGATAAAAACACTCCTATCCCAGTTATTTCAAAATATTAATGATGTGTTGCTTTCCAATTTGAAATAGAATTGCACAACTGGCTGTCCTTTATATGGCAATGCATTGCCAAGTATGTTCTTTACAGAATAACACAGCTGAAACTTCAAAAAAACCCAACAGCAACCCCTGAAACAAAACCAACAATGAAATAAAGAAATCATACAGAAGAAATCAACACAATTTACAGAAAATGCCAGCTGATCAGACGCTGGACCCAATAGACTTGTAAGCTTTGATACTGACCTGCCAATAGGACCTTATTATGTGTTTATCCTAAAACTTTTACCATTTTAAAAACACAGAAAAGACTATTTACTCTGCCTCTAGAAATCAAATTCAATTTGTTTTACTATTTATAGCAATAAAATGCTAAAGAAAGTCATAGCTCACACATCAGGCACCTATAATGTCATTCTTGACCAATAACAGGCTCTCAGCGACCTGATCTAGTGAAAGGTGTCCCTGCCCACAGCACGAGGACTGGAACTAGATGATCTTTAAGATCCCTTCCAACCCAAACCATTCTATGATTCTTTAATCTCTGGGAGTAAGATGTTTGTTATAAGGATTTATATTTTATATCAGCAAACATACAGAAATATTTAGTAATTTGTTCAAAATTCACATCAGAGCCACAAACATAGAAATTAATTTCTGATTGCAGTCCTATTTTCTTCCTTTCAACCCACCACACTCGAAACACATAAAAATCCAAAGATTACACTTTATTAGGGAAGGGAGAGCACCAAAAGCTTTAAACACTAATTTGGTGTTCAGCAGATCACATGAGTTAAATGGATCTAATTGTATGGAAGTTGCTTTCATCTTAAATTATTCCATGATTTTTAGAGGAGTTGTGCTGGAGTTGAATGTCACAGATCACGGCTGTTACAGAGAACAGGTTGTTGCTGTTTGACAGAGGGACAGTTTGGGTGGTGTGATGGCAGTGGGTGCTGCGTTTTCTAGCCTGGAGTATGTAGCACAGCTAAGCATTTAGCCAGAGAAAAGACACTCATCCTCCTTCCCAAAGGAAGGACTGGATTTGACTTGAACAAAACCTGAGTACTAGTCATTCCTTACACAACCCAAGATTTCATCTAGTAGGACAGATAAACCAACACTAAACCTTCCATTAACCTGACAACAATGAAGCAGATACTCTTGCCAACCTAAGCCTATTCAGAGCCAGTACTTTTCCTGGGTGATGGAGGAAGCACACTCCTCCACAAGCTACTGAGACAGGAGGGGTTAGTGGTGCTGCACACTCTGAACTCATTTGGAATCTTTTGTTCATACTTGCAATGATTTGAAACCTAAAGCATAAAATAAACTTCCCAAGATCTATCACTATCATATACCAGGATAATGATGTAAAATTTCCGAAGGTTAAGTTTATTAAAAGGAATGACTGCTACATGGCTGCCACTAACCTTACTGGTTATGATCCAAGACAAAGAGGAGTTACATTATCTAACACTACTGTAATACCAGCACGTCTGTACTACATAATTCCTACAGCTACAGTTTTACAGATGTTTCTTCTTGTTCTTTATTTCTCCTCGCTTTCCTTTTCTCAGTTCTCTATTCTTAGGAGTAGCTAACAGCTCTTCATAAAGCTACACACAACAGCAGAGGCAGGAGTTGATAAAGAAGATTTCTTTTGGCTTTCCCTACTGATTCTGGTATCTTTAGTGGGCAGAGAAAATAGGAAAGCTAGCAGGGAAGTCAGGAAGATAGCCTGTGTAGTTCTACTACCCAGCTTTCGAAGCTCTGAGCAAAAAAGCCATGGGCAATAGCACCGTAAGTCTGTAAGTTCAAGAGAAACCTTAAAATCTCTTATACTTTTCTAATGAGCCCAGTTATCTCCAAGATGAAGATGAGCAGCTCTTACATTAAAAGATATATTAGCTTCTATAGCTGCTCATTGATAATACTTAGAGGGAAGTCTTCCTTCTTGTCAGGGCCAAATAGGCTCAAGGTATGCAACACAACAAAATTCACACACAACTTCTGCTATAGACATATTCTATTGCAAAGAGCACCGCCAAACACACAGGACATTTATTTATGTTAATGATATTTATCTGAAAGAACAGCCCACAACACTTCAAATAAGTACTTAAGTTTGTAGCTACGGTACACTTAAAAACTGCCCTTAATTTCTACGCTGCATGAATTTTTCACATTCCCTCCTGAAAGAAATAACCCATGGATCATTTATTGAGGTGCTGGTATTTGCTTGTATTACATCATTCCCATACTCTGAGGGGGAGCCAGAAAGCTCCAAAGGAAAAACAGGGTTACATTGAGGAATCAATTAAACAAGAGCTTCAAAGAGCCTTCTGCCTCCATCTGTTCCCACGTTCCAGGGCCTTACTAACTGTCCTCTCTATTCCCATCGCTCAGATGATAATCAGAAATCCCTAGAATCTAATGTTTATTTTGACTGGAAAATTATACTTTTATGAACACCTGTTTATATCTTAATTGTCCCACAAGCCAGATGAACATGATTTACACATGATGTACGCAGCAGATACGTGTATTGACAGTGATAGAGCAAGAACCAGCTTTTCTTATTCCCAAGTCCCATTCCATATTTGAAAGCAAGACTGGAGTGAGGAAGGATGAATTACACTAGAATTATTTTACTGTTAAAGTATCATTTTACCATACTCAATCTCTGCTTACTATCACTGAGGTTCTTAATAGTCTACAGATTCTGACACTATTTGAATAGTATCATAAACAAAGCCTGAAATGGCTGAGAGCAACATTGTACAGATAAGTCATGAACAAAGAAAAGTGTCAATATAACAAATGCCATAATCTGATCTTAGATCCAATGGTCTTTGAGTGCCACTTTACCCAACCCCTCACGAGGAGGTCTTGGACCCAATATGACAAGATCAGTTTACTGCATAAATGGAAAAGGAGTCGAGATTTCCTATTTCAGTTTCACACATAAACTACTACTGTCTCTCCCATGAAAAATAGCTATTTTTCATGATCTTGAAAAGTTCACATTCACTTTTTAATTTTTAACAAGTCACATTTTATATTACTTTCATTGGACTGATATTCCAACAAATTATGTAATGGGAAAACCAGAAAACCTAGGGAAGACAATCCATTAGTTCAGTGTGAAAAACCCAAACCTGGGTTAACCAAAGTTAACCTGGAAAGTTAAATGAAAATAGGCTGCAGCAAACTTGTTGTATTTTCAGTTTAACTCCTTGAATATTGTGGAGCCCATCCCTTTATCTAGCACACAGTGTGCCATAGATGTTGCATCATATATTATATTATCTATTAGGTATCTATATACAAAGAAAAGAGCTTCAGCTCTGAAGAATTCAGGTTTCAAGAAGTAATTTTTCAGTTCTGCCTAGTGCAGTCATTAGAGGCAGTAATGACTCTTTAGCCCTTGGCTATGCTAGGCTATTTGTGAGCACTCCTGCAGTGATATTTAGATATTGGCTTCATGGGCAAGATTCTACCAAACAAGACATACTTTTGTGCTTCCAAACCATAAAGATATCCTTTAAATGAGCTAAGACATATTTCCTTCATATGCTGGAGAAGCCACAGGAGTGAAAAGACCTTGACGAAGCAGACTTTCATAGCACCCGTGGTAACGTAATGAAGAACTGGACACTCCAACAGAGAACATCAGTCAGCCCTCGGTGCTGAGGTCACCCAAGCTGCTTCCAATGCAAACACCAGCACAAAGCAATGTGATGCAACCAAAGTCAAGGTTATGAAATGGCTTATGCTTTCCTGCATGCATTCTTCAAGCGTATATAGAACTGCAAGACCTAGAGAATTTGATATCCCACATTAGTCACGCTGGTTTCTACTTAAATGTCTAACTTACTTATCCAGAATACAATCCATTCAGAGCATATTATCTGGACATTAGCTAAACTAAGCACTGCCAAATGGTATGACACACAATCCTGTTATGAGAAATATTAATTGAATGGACCGAGAAGATCCACCGATTTACGTTTCACCAAACACCAGGGAGTTAAAAGAATCAGTTAAAATTACATGAAGTGTGGCAATAAAATTTAATTCAAATAAGCAAGGTGTCTCCTTCATTACTGGTTTACAATCCAAATGAACAGGGATAAAAGAAATGCTATGTAAATATATATGGTAGCTGGCCACTAAATACTTATTGCAGTCTGGCAGCAAGGGTGTTAGATGTTATTTTGAAACTAACAAAGTACAAAATTATCCTCTAAAGGAAGTTATTCCTTTTTGCTCTTTTTAAAAAGATGTTTCTCAGCTTCCTTTAAAAAACATCTAATTTGCTTCATGTCTTTGTATTAACCATAAAGTCTGCCAAGAGTCTCGTAAAGGTGAAAAAATGCATAGTTTACAATGTACTGAGAAGCTATGAAGCAGAATCAAAGATCAGTGTTAGCAATATTATCATCCAAACCACTGAACTAGGTTTTCTATCGAAAAGTGATTAATTTAAAAAACCTTTGTACTTTCTGT